CTCTACCAAGGATTTTAGTCCTACAAATGAACGGTCCAGCCTAAAAATAATAAACAAACGCTAATAATGGATTACGGGCATAATGAATAACAGTGGTTTGATATAATAAGAATGCTTTAAATATACAGCCACTGGTGGCCCAGTGGTAAAAACAGTGGCTTTTGGTTTTATCATGTGGCCTTGGGAAGGTCTTCTAACATCTGTAAACTTCAGTTACCTCCTGCAAAATGCTGAGGCACTCAATAAATGGTCGCTGCAATCATTATTATGCATAATTATGGTCATTATCATTCACAGAGCAGTTTTACATTCATTGTTCATTTATTTAACAAATATTCATTGACGGTCTACCAAGTGCCAGGCACTGTGCCAGGCTCTGTGGATACAGTGGTGAGCAAAGGAGACCTGGTCAGGGCCTCATGGGGCTCACAGAGACGTTAAGAGGTAGTTCACGATCAAAGAAATCCACAACTGTACCAAGGACCACCCGGGACGGTGCAGGGTCAGGGGACGCTGTCGTCACCTAGGGGTCATGCCCAGAGACAGGAGCGTCAGTGAACTTTATCAAAGCAAACCGTTAGGATGGGCTGGGCAGGTATGATCTGCATTTCACAGATGAGGACTGCTTGCAGTCACACAGCCCCGCCTGAACCCCAGCTCCTGCCGCCGCTGTCGCTGGGTGACCGGAGCGGGCTTCTCTCTGAGCAGGGAAGGAGGAGATGCTGAGCCAGCGCGACTACGAGTCTGCGTCGCTGCAGGAGGTGCGGGCACTGCTGCGGCGCCACGAGGCCTTTGAGAGTGACCTAGCAGCTCACCAGGACCGCGTGGAGCACATCGCTGCGCTGGCCCAGGAGCTCAAGTAGGCGTGGCCCGCTGCGGGGCCCGCCCCCGATGACACAGCCCCGCCGTGGCTCCGCCCCCGGGCTCGAGCCCCGCCCCACTCCCGTGGCCCTCCTGCCCTCTAGGAAAGCCCGCCCTACGTCACCTGTCCGGGCTCCCTCGCGCTTCCACCACGAGTCGCAGCGCAAGTTCCAGCCCCGGGGAGGCAGTCGGGAGGACGTTTGGGCTGGGATCTGGCCCCACACTCGCCCCTGTTCCCGCCCCCAGTGAGCTGGACTACCAAGATGCGGTCTCGGTGAACAGCCGCTGCCAGGCCATCTGCGACCAGTGGGACAACCTGGGCACGCTGACCCAGAAGAGGCGTGACGCGCTAGAGGTGGGGCTGGGGACTCGGGAGCTGGAGGTGGGAGGCGAGAGGCCGCCGGTTGCGCAGGCCGCTGACCCGCCCTCCCCGCGGCCCCCAGCGGATGGAGAAGCTTCTGGAGACCATCGACCAGCTGCAGCTGGAGTTTGCACGGCGGGCAGCGCCCTTTAACAACTGGCTGGACGGCGCAGTGGAGGACCTGCAGGACGTATGGCTGGTGCACTCGGTGGAAGAGACCCAGGTGGGCGCCGGCTAGACCCGGCCGCTCCTTTCGGGTTCCTGAGGAGTGCAGGAGGGAGGAAAACCCCAGTCCACCAACCTGCCTGGAACTCGCTGCCTTTTGTTGCCTGCGGGAGGTGGGGGGCCCTGGCTGATGTTGCCTGCCTGTTGCCTCCAGAGCCTACTGACAGCACACGACCAGTTCAAGGGAACGTTGCCTGAGGCTGACCGTGAGCGAGGTGCCATCCTGGGCATCCAGGGTGAGATCCAGAAGATCTGCCAAACCTACAGCCTGCAGTCCATCACCACCAACCCCTACATCAGCCTCAGCCCACAGGACATCAACACCAAGTGGGACACGGTCTGTGCTGCCTGTGGCCTTTCTCTGACTCCTCCCCCCCAACTCCCGTTCTAACCACCCAGACACCTCAGGTGTCTCATGATAGGGAGACCAGAAGCCACCTTCAGATCTGGGTCTGCCACTGGCTCCAGTGGATAAACTGTGTCTGTCTTGGCCTCATCTTGAAACAGCCACAACAGCAGCATTTTCCCGTCAGGACTGGTGTGTGTGGACCACCTTTCTAAAACCTATGCTAGTTTATAAATGATGTCATGGGTCCCATTTTACAGAGGAAGACTCTGAGGGCTAGAGAGGTTGAGTGGCTTGCCCAAAGTCACATAGCCCAGACAAGTTGGGTCAGGGCAGCAGGGGCTGGGGTTTGAGGGGCTGGTCCCCAGAGCTGCCCCTGGCACAGCCACCTCCTTCCCAGGTCCGAAAGCTGGTGCCTAGTCGTGACCAGACGCTGCAGGAGGAGCTGGCACAGCAGCAGCTGAACGAGACGCTCCGGCGACAGTTTGCAGCCCAGGCCAATGCCATCGGGCCCTGGATCCAGGGGAAGGTGGAGGTAATGAAGGGCTTGAATAGCGGGCCCAACCTGGTAGAGCAGGGAGTTGGGAGCCCATATCCTGCCTGGGCAGCTGGTGGCAAGGCTGGCAGGCAGGGGCTGCCTGCACTCCAGGCTACTAGGTTCTCACGGCAGCCTGGGTACCCCCTGCAGGAGGTTGGGCGGCTGGCAGCCGGGATGGCGGGCTCTCTGGAGGAACAGATGGCTGGGCTGCGGCAGCAGGAGCAGAACATTATCAACTACAAAAGCAACATCGACCGGCTGGAGAGTGACCACCAGCTGCTGCAGGAGAGCCTGGTGTTGGACAATAAGCACACCGTCTACAGCATGGAGGTGGGAACACATCTACTGGGGACAGAGCTGGCGCCGGCTGGGGAAGCCTGGGACCATCTCAGCTGGAAGGAGCTTGTCTGCCTTGGGAGGGTGTCCAGTTCAGCTCAGCCAGGACCCTGGTGGACCCAGGAGGATACTGAGACCCAGAGAAGTGACCCACTAGGGACAGTGATTCACAGAGTATCTCAAGCCAGAACAGCTTTGGCTATGACAGAAGGGCCGCTGGGGGTCACACAGACCCTCCAGAGTACAGATGGGGACAGAAACCTAGCGAGAAACAGGACTTGCCTAGGGTCACACTGTGGGTTGGGAGTGGGGCTCGAGTGACTGGCCTCTCCTCTCCCAGCACATCCGCGTGGGCTGGGAGCAGCTGCTCACCACCATCGCCCGCACCATCAACGAGCTGGAGAACCAGGTTCTGACCCGAGATGCCAAGGGCCTGAGCCAGGAGCAGCTCAATGAGTTCCGAGCATCCTTCAACCACTTTGACCGGGTCAGCAGGGGCCCAGCCCTGCGGGGTGCAGGGCTTGGGGGCTAGTGGGTCTTGGGGACTGGGCCTGACACCCCTCACCACCTACAGAAGCGGAACGGGATGATGGAGCCCGACGACTTCCGAGCTTGCCTCATCTCCATGGGCTACGACTTGGTAAATGCCCGACCCTTCCCAGGGGTCCCACCTGGGTTGCTCTCCTTACTCATCACCTACTGTGTGCCTCCCGTCTATACGTGATCTCGTTAATCACATCATACCCAATGGGGCAAGAACTACCCCATGTTACACAAGGGTTATCAAGGGCTCAGAGTTAGTCTCTCAGACACACAGCTAGGATTTGGAGCCAGGTTTGTAACTCCAGAGCTGGAGCTCTCAACATTTTACTATAGGTAGGGGGTCTGTGTAGCCCCCACAAAAAGCACACAAAACCAACAAGCAGGAGGGGGCCCTGTCGTGGGCAGGAAGCTGATTTTCAGATTCCAACCTGGCAGGAAGACTTCAGGAGCCCCGGTGGGTCAGCAGTTTGAATCCACCAGCCACTCCTTGGAAACCCTATGGGGTAGCTCTATTTTGTTCTATGGGGTTGCTATGAGTCAAAATCGACTCGACAGCAAGGGGTAGGAAGACTTCCTAAACCCAGAGCTCACCGAGGTGGCAGAAAGCTGTCTTTGGAGGAGGAGAGTGCATGTCACTGGGGTGGTGCAAGACAAGGCTGACGGCACCCAGCAGGGGGCACTGGGAGCCCGCCTGGCTTTAGCACGCATGGGTGCAGCGCCCAGCCTCTGTCCCTACAGGGGGAAGTGGATTTTGCCCGCATCATGACCATGGTGGACCCCAACGCAGCTGGGGTTGTGACCTTCCAGGCCTTCACTGACTTCATGACCCGAGAGACTGCTGAGACCGACACGGCTGAGCAGGTGGTGGCCTCCTTCAAGATCCTGGCCGGAGACAAGGTGAGCCCGGGGGGGTGAGCGGGATGGCGGGCAGGGGCAGGAGGTGGGATGCTCACCCGAGGGCCCGCCTCTCCCCAGAGCTACATCACCCCGGAGGAGCTGCGGCGGGAGCTCCCGGCTGAGCAGGCCGAGTACTGCATCCGCCGCATGGCGCCCTACAAGGGGCCCGGGGCCACAGCGGGAGCCCTGGACTACGTGGCCTTCTCCAGTGCCCTCTACGGGGAGAGTGACCTCTGACGTCCACCCGAAGGTTCTCGAAGCAAGGCAGAGAGGGGGTGCTTCCCGTGGCTCACTCCTCCCTTCCCCCCGGGGCAGACGCCTCAGAGAATCCGTTTCTGAATAAAGATACCGCCCTTGGCTCCCTTCCCATCTCCTTCTGGCTCCTGAAGCAGAAGCTGGGCCTCCGGCTCCTGGGCAAGACCAGCTGCCCCGCCCTCACCCCTGGGGGTCCCCATTTTGCCCTCACAGTGTTCACACCACGCGGGGGACCAGAACACCTCTTTATTTGCTGTTAGAAAAGGGTGGTTGCAAGTTTCTCTAGATGTGGAAGGGGACACTGGTCCCTGATCCAGGGGGACCAGAAAATTTCTAGCATTAGACAGAGGAAAGCTTGGGACAGAGCCTGCTGGGAACACAGTGGGTCTGAGATCAGAACCCTTTCTCCCCATCTGCTCCTTACCCAAATCCAGGGTTCTCACCCCAGCTTTGACTGCCAAGTGTCATCCTTCACCCCAAGATCCTCCTCACTACCACAATTCAACAAAGGTGCAGTTGGGGGATTCTGGGTGGGGCGGGTGGAAAGAAGGGGCTGTGCCCCCGGTGCCCTGTGCTCACCCCAAGGTACCCGATGCCCGTCCCTCAGCCAGCTGTGCCTCCTGGGGAGGGGCCCGGCCACGCAGGCCAGGCTTAGGAGGGGGCTGCTCTGGGCAGCACTAGGTCCGAGCCGGTGGCGCCTCAGTCCACCACCGCTGAGCTGGCCATGGTGTTCACACCACAGGCCCCGGACCCGCGATGCAGGTAGTAGTAACCCTGGGAGAGAGGAGGAGTTGGGGAGGGTGTGTGGGCAGGATGGGGACCGTGGGACCAGGAGCTGAAGGCAGGAAGAGAGCTATAGGGCCAGCAGCTGAAGGCAGGACAGGGACTGCGGGGTCAGGAGCTGAGGGAACGAAGAGAGCTATGGGGCCTGGAGCCGAGGGCAGGACGGGGACCGTGGGGCCAGCGGCTGAGGACAGAAAGGGAGCTATGGAGCCAGGGGCTGAGGTCAGGACAGGAACCACGGGGCCAGGAGCTGAAGGCAGGAAGAGAGCTATGGGGCCTGAGGCTGAGGGCAGGACAGGGACCGCGGGGCCAGAGGCTGAGGGCAGGATGGGGACCGCAGGGCCAGGAGCCAAGGAGAGAATGGGGGCTGCAGGACCGAGGGCAGGACGGGGGCCAAGGGCCGAATGGGGCTCACAGGGCCGAATGGGGCTCACAGGGCCAAGGGCAAAATGGGGGCTGCAGGGCCAGGGGCTGAGGTCAGAATGGGGGCCAGGAGCCAAGGGGCAGGACAAGGGCTGAGCACAGAACAGGACCGCAAGGATAAGAGCCAAGAAGTGAGGCTCACCTCCTCACCCCAGTCAGTGCCCCAGCTGTTCTTGATGGCCCAGAAGGGGACGTCAGAGCCTGGGGAACAGTGTGAACACAGAGTCAGGGGCCTCCAACTCTCCAGACAGGCCCCAAACGCTTTGCACCCTTCAACTATGTGATGTGAATCCACCGTATACCAGGCACTAGAAAAAGAGCAGAAAACAAGACAGACCCCTACCACCCTCCAGGAGACGGGGTGCAGCTATTGGTCTGGGACAGCCCCACTTCCCCAGCCTCAGCTTTCCCACCCAGAGGAGACAGATGGTTCTGGCCTAGCCACAGCCTGAGGCCGGGTTAGGGACAGGGTTTCTAGGCAGTGCTCCGATTTCCCCGCCTGCGGCCTGGACTGGCCGAGCAGCGCTGCTCAGCGGAACTCACGGTTGCCATAGCCCACGATCAGCACGGCATGGTCGATGAGCCAAGGGCTGCAGAGGGGCCGGAGAGGGTGGGCAATCCCGTGGCGGTAGAACTGGGGGGAAATAAGGAGTAGGGGACCGACTCCCAGGAGGAAAAAAGGGGAGCCATCAGCAAGAGACGGAGTGGGGGCAGCGGGGCTGGGGCCTTACCTGCATGCCGAAGGCATTGATGGCGACGGAGATGGGGCCGTTCTTGGCCAGCCAGGCTGCCAGCTCTGAGACGGGAGGAGCAGCATCAGTGGGCGCCTGGGCCCCATCCCTCGCCCTGTGCTCACCCCGCCCCTCACTCACTGTCCTCGTTCCGGCTCAGCTCCACTGAGTCGTTGATGTAGACCTTGGCCTTCTCTGCAGAGAAGCTGCAGGCCTGCAGGTGGCCCTGGTAGCTGTAGTCTTCCTCAGTCTCCAGCCCCCCTGGGAGTGACAGGGGTGGGGTAGGTGGAGAAAAGGCAGACCCCTCCATCTGCCATTCCCTAGCCTTCTCTGAGCCAGGTGTTGTGCTAAACCCCTTACACATGTGGGCTTGTGTTCCTCAGCACTCCTCTGAGGCCTCATTCTAGAAACAAGACACCTTAGGCTCAGGGATGGGCAGTAACTAGCGAAAAAAGTAGCAGAAATGAAACTCAACTCTCAATGTCTGACTCCTGGCTGAGAGCTCAGGCACAGGCTTCCTGTGGCTCTTGACCTTGGCTTGCTTGTTCCCACCTGACTGTTCACTCTCAATCCAGCCCAGACCCCTGCCAGGCTCCTGGGCCAGTCTTTGCACGCCACCTCAGTCCCTCACCCCTTCCTCCTCCTGCCATCGCAGCCCACCAACGAACTGGATTTCCAGTTTGGGTCAACCGCTTTCCTCAGGGGTGAGATGGGCTGGCTACCTGGTGTAGCGTTATACAAACACAGACCTCCCAACAGCAGAAACACTAAGAGCCCCTGTTCACCAAGCCCCTTCACCAAGCCCCTGCAATGTGCCAAGAACTTCCCATGTATTTCCTCAGCTGATACTCAAGGCAATCCTACCAGGCAGACATGCTAAAACCCATTTCACAGATGAGACAACTGACACTCTGTAAAACAGCTGACTTGCCCAAAGTGTTCAGCCAGTAAGGGTCAGCATGAAGACTTGAACCCAGTTGTGTGTGACTCCCAAACCCATGTCTCTCTCCCTCAAACTGATTTCCTGCAGAGGGAGAAGTGGTGCCTGCTACACCCCTACTCCCATAGGTACGTACCCAAAGTCATTATGGCTGAGTAGGCGTTGGAGGGCATGCCACCCATACAGGCCTTGTCCACCTTGTCACAGTCCAAGAGCTCTAGGAGACAGAAGGCTGGTCCCGAGGAGCCCTCTGGAGGGGCTGGGATGGGGACGGGGGCAGAGCAGGATGCTCACCCTGCTCAGAGAGGGAAAGCAGGGTCCCCCGGTTCAGGAACCACTGGCCCTCCACGTTGCCTATCACTGAGAAGGCCCAGCAGGAACCACACATGCCCTGTGAGAGAGAGCGGTCAGGGCTGGGCCCCTCCCCAACCCCAGTGCAGCACACGTTCCACCCTCACCTCCTAAGACCCACCTGGTCCTTGACTTTGGTGACAGCTCCCTTGGTCCTCCAGTCCCAGTCAGGAGGCACGGGGTCCTTGGGGGCCTTGGCTAGGCGCATCTTCCGGCCAGGATCCTCTCTTAGCAGGGGATTCAGGTAGATGGTGCGGAACTCCTCCTCTACGAGCAACAGCAGGCGGGGAACAGGGCGGGGGGGGGGGCAGTATTCTAAGCCAGCCCTGACCAGGGGCCTTGGGAGCAGGCGCTGTCTCCTCCAGGTTCATGGGGGTGCCAGCCACCAGCCCTACCTGTGAGGTCACTGAACTTGGTGATCCCATACTGAGCTGTACCTCGGTCCAGGGCCTGGAGCTTTTGTGCTCGAATCATGTTATTGGCAAAGACGGACATGCGCCACTGGGTTTCTGAGGACAAGGAGCATGATGGGAGGGGCTGGGACCCCAAGCAGATCGTAAGAGAAGGGGTGCTTGGAGTTAATAGGCAAAGGTTACCCTAGGGAGTATATGGGCTCTTAATCAGGCCTGAAGCTCTTTTCAAGGACCAAACCCTGGGATAGGGTGGGGGGCCAGACCTGCAAGTGACGGAGTAGGAGGTGTGCTCACCTTTGGGGGCAATGAAAGTAGTAACTGAGGTGGGCGTCAAAAGGCATCACCAGATAGCAGGGCTTGGGGAAAGGCTAAGGTGTTGGGAGGGTGGGGGTCTCTACCCCACCCCACTCTGCCCAGAATGACGAAGACTCACGGTATCTAACCAGGAAAGTCGCAGGAGAAAAGGCCAGGTGCTTTAGGTGCTGCCTGGTCCTGGGAGGCTGGACAAGAACTCAGGGACTTAGAGGTCTCTGCAAGAATGCCCTGCCTCTCGTGTCCTTCCCCTCCCTCAACACCCAGGTGCCAAGTTGAGGGAAAGGCCCTGATCTGACTGCAACAAGCAGAGCCAAGGGTGATCCTCACCCTCCTTCGTTTCATATGTCCGGTTATAAGTGGTGACAAAGTTCTTGAAGATCGAAGCCATCTTCACGGAAAAATCCTGGAAAGACCGAAGGATCTTTAGAAGGAGTCCCTCTCAGCCTGACCAGGCAGCCCCACTCCAGGGTGAGGGAAGAGAAGGGGGAGGCAGCAGCCAGCTCCCCAGACACACCTGGGCTCCTCACCTGGGGGAGGGGATCCTTGTTCCACAGTGGAAGAACAGAATTCAGGGTCTCGTTGGTGTAGTCTGGATGGGGGTGGAACAGAGAAGACAGCAAGGCTGAGCCTAAGGGAGGCCTGATCTGGGCTATCCCAGCATCCTTGGGCTATCCCAGCACCTGCAACCTTGGTGTCCACTGGGCCACAGTCCCTCCGCAGGAGCATGTGTTTGCCTAGCTCATCCAGGACCTCAAAGCTGCAGAGCTGCAGGGAGAGGAGGAAACCTGTCCGGGGGCTGGAACGGGGGCTGGGTCTGGGTAACGTGGAGATGGAGGCCCCCCACTGAGGACCACCAAGGCAATCAACCCCACAGCGGAGAGAGGGCCCGGCCCGCCCCGACACCCACCCTCCCTCTCTCGGAGCAGCCTGGCCCCCGCCCTCAGGCCTGGGAACCGACTCTTCGACGCTGTTGGGATGGGGCAGTGCTGACCAAACCTGTCTTCCCAGGGCGGCCTGACTCAGCCTAGGGCGGGGAATCAGAGGCGGCCAGCACTCACCAGGGTTTTCTTGGACAGAGGGAGCCGGCACACGGTGGGGTCGTTGCAGGGCGGCTCCTCTAGGGTCGCCTCCAGGGAGTACAGCGACCCCCGGCCCGCCTAGATGGAGGAGCGGGTGAGGGGCACAACCCCAACTTCAACCCCCTTCCCCTTCCCAGTCATCTCGGAGTCACCCCGGATCCTCCGAATCCAGGCCCGCGTCCCCCTCTCGGGACCCCGGAGGCCCGCCCCGGCGTATCTCACCCGGCGGACGCGCCCGCGGACGGCCCCTAGCGCGGCCTGCGTCCCCGCCGCCCGGCCGCGGTTGTACATCCTCAGGGCGAAGCGGGCCGGCTTCAGCAGCTCCGGGGACGGTGGGTCCCAGGCCGGCGCCGGGGCGGCGGCGGCGCCCAGGAGCAGCCCCAGCAGCGACAGCACCTGCAGCCAGGGCGCCATGACGAGGGCGAAGCGGCGGCCGGGACGCACGGACCCACGGACGCGCGGCCCAACCGACGGGGTGGGGCGGTCCGCGCGGCCTCCCCGGACCACTGGGCGCCGACCTGGGGCGCTTGCGCGCTCGCGTGTTTACCCGAGGCACGTGGGCCGAGGCACGTGGGACGCGCGGGTCCGCCAGCCCGGCAGCATCCCCTCCCCTTTATTCTCTGGGGACCGTCACAGCACGGCTGCTTTCCTGCTGCTGTAGTCTGCGGACGGGTGGCCTGAGCCCCCATATTGGACTAATGCGCTTATGTCTTGGAGGTCGGCTTTGGGGAGGAGACAGGGCGTTGACCTCAGAATAAAAATAGTAACATTTATTGTATGATTATTATACGTTAGACATTATCTGCCATCTGCCTTTAATCGTTATAGCAATCCTATGAAGTAGGTGTTATTATCCCGGTGTTAGAGTTGAGGAAACTGAGGCTTAGAGAGAAATGAAGTGGCTTGCCAAACAGCTGAGAAGCAGTGGTGCTGGCCTTGAACCCAGTCAGTCGGCTCCAGAACCTGGGTTCGCAGCCCAGTCACCTTTTCACGGTCCCGGTTCTCATCAGCAAAATGGCAGATAATATTCCCCATGTTGGCAGCGTCTTGGGCTGTTGTGAGGGTCAAACGCAATCATGCAAGCATTTAGTAACCACTCAAGGAATTTGCGCAGGGCTGGGACTGCTTTTGTGCGTCAGGGCATTCACCGGCTGTGTTCCAGGGCCTAGCGGGGGAGTGACTGAGGTTTTAGACACGGTGCTGCGTTTTCACAGCCGTCTAGTGGAGAGACAGATGAGAATTTTACTGCGAGGCGTTTCCACCTGGGAGATTTGGGGGAAATCAGAGAGGAGGGGCAGGGGTTAGTCTGAACGTGGAGGGTGCTTCTTGTCTTGTGCCCTTGAGTTCATTCCGACTCATGGCGACCCCATGTGTTACAGTAGAACTACTCCACAGGGTTTTATTGGCTGTGATCTTTACCGATGCAGATCTCCAGGCCTATCTTCTGCAGTCCAATGGGTGGGCTCAGAGCACCAACCTTTAGGTTACCAGCTGAGCACAAACTATTTGCCCCACCCAGGGACCTTGTGGAGCATGGAGAAGACTGATGAGTTAAAAATCATAGTCCAAACCTGGCTTTTCACAGCAGCAGAGGTCTAGAGAGGTGAAGTGACTTTCTGGCCATCTGGAAATTAGTCCTGGAGCCAGATGGGTACCAGCTTAGTGCTCCTGGTGGCCAGCCGAGGTTGGCAAGGGGAGGGCTGGAGGGAGGCCGGCAGATGCTGATCCCTTGCTGCCGTGTCCTCCCTTTTTAAGCCCTTGGGCTCCCTGTATCTGTCTCCCAGGTGACTTACAACGCCCCGCGGGGTTGGTCTCACCTCAGTTCTTACTGTTCACCCCTTGCACTTAACACTCCAACCTCAAAAGCTCACCAAAAACCTGTTGTTGTCAAGTCAATTCCAACTCAGCAACCCTATAGGACAGAGTAGAACTGCCCCATAGGTTTTCCAAGGAGCCACTGGTAGATTCAATCTGCTGACCTTTTGGTTACAGCTGAGCTCTTAACTACTGCGCCACCAAGGTCCTCAAAAGCTCAAAATCTCACCAAAACCAAAAACCAAACTAGTTGCCTAGAGTCGATTTGACCCTATAGGACAGAATAGAATTGCCCCATGGGGTTTCCAAGGCTGTGATTTTTTTTTTTTTTAATTTTATTTTTCTTTAGGTGAAAATCTACAGCGCAAATGAGTTTCTCGTTCAAAAAATTATACACAAATTGTTTTGTGACATTGGTTGCAATCCCCGCAATGCGTCAACACTCTTCGCCTTTCTGCTCCTGGTTCCTTGTGTCCATTTGCCCAGTTTTCCTGTCCCTTCCTGCCTTCTCGTCTTTGCTTTCGGGCAGGTGTTGCCCATTTGGTCTCACATACTTGACTGAACTAAGAAGCACGTTCCTCAGCTCTGTCCTTTTATAGGCCTGTCTAATCTTGGCTGAAAGGTGGACTTTTGGAAGTGCCTTCAGTTCTGAATTAGCAGGGTGTCTGGGAGCCATAGTCTCAGGGGTTCCTCTTGTCTCTGTCAGACCAGTAAGTCTGGTCTTCTTTTGTGCATTTGACTTTTGTTCTACACTTTTTCCGCTGCTGTGTCTATTGTGATCCCTGTCAGAGTAGTCAGTGGTGGTGGCCGGGCGCCATCTCGTTCTTCTGGGCTCAGGCTGGTGGAGGCTACGGTTCATGTGGTCCATTAGTTCTTTGGACTAATATTTTCCTTGTGTCTTTCATTCTCGTTCGCTCCGGACAGGATGGGACCAATAGATGTGTCTTAGATGGCTGCTCACAATCTTTTAAGATCCCAGACGCTACTCACTGAAGTAAGATGTAGAACATTTTATGAACTGTGTTATGCCAGTTGACCTAGATGTTCCCCAAGACTATGATCGCCAGCCCTCAGCCCCAGTAACTCGGTCGCTCAAGGTGTTTGAATGTGTCTAGAAAGCTTCTGTGACTTTGCCTTGGTCAAGTTGTGCTGAATTCCCCTACGTTGTGTCTTGGCTTATCTTTTACCAAACTTAACACTTGCCTATTATCTAGTTAATGATTTCCCCTCCCTCGTAACCATCTGAGATTGTTTTTTTCCTTTGTGTAAACGTTTTCTTGAGTTTTTATAATAGGGGTCTCATACAGTATTTGTCCTTTCGTGATTGACTTATTTCACTCAGCATAATGCCCTCCAGATTCATCCATATTGTGAGATGTTTCACGGATTCATCATTGTTCTTTATTGTTGCATAGTACTCCATTGTGTGTGTGTATCATAGTTTATGCATTCATCTAAGTGCCATTGATGGACACTTAGGTTGTTTCCATCTTTTTGCTATTGTGAATAATGCTTCAATGAACATGGGTGTGCATATGGCTATTCATGTGACGGCTCTTATTTCTCTAGGATATATTCCTAGGAGTGAAACTGCTGGATCATATGTGGCATTTCTATTTCTAGCTTTTTAAGGAGGCTTCATATCGTTTTCCATAGTGGGTATACCATTTTACATTCCCACCAGCAGTGCATAAGAAGTCCAATCTCCTTGAAACCTCGCCAACATTTGTTATTTCCTTTTGTTTGATCTGTGCCAGTCATGTCAGGGTGAGACGGTATCTCACTGTAGTTTTGATTTGCATTTCTCTAATGGCTAATGACCGTGAGCGTTTCCTCATGTATGTGTTAGCCGCCTGAATGTCTTCTTTGGTGAAGTGTCTGTTCATATGCTTTGCCCGCTTTCTAATTGGATATTTGTCTTTTCGTTGTTGAGGAAGAATTTCATAGATTTTAGAGATTAGACCCTTGTTGGATATGTCGTAGCCAAAATTTTTTTTCCCAGTCTGTAGGTTCCCTTTTTTTCTCCTTTGGTGAAGTCTTTTGCTGAGCGTAAGTGTTTAATTTTTAGGAGCTCCCGGTTACCTCGTGTACCTTCTGTTGTGTATGCATTGTTAGTTACGGTTTGTATTGTGTTTATGCCATGTATTAGGGCCCCTAGCGTTGTCCCTATTTTTTCTTCCATGATCTTTATCGTTGTAGGTTTTATATTTAGGTCTTTGACCCATTTTGAATTACTTTTAGTGTATGGTGTGAGGTATGGGTCCTGTTTCATTTGTTTAGAGATGGACATCCAGTTTTGGCAGCACCATTTGTTAAAAAGACTGTCTTTTCCCCATTTGATGGACTTTGGTCCTTTGTCAGAGATCAGCTGATCATAGGTGGATGGGTGTACGTCTGAGTTCTCGATTCTGTTCCATTGGTCTATGTGTCTGTTGGTGTCTGCGTTGACTGCCATGACTGTATAGTTGGTTCTGAGATCAGGTAGAGTGAGGCCTCCTACTTTGTTCTATTTCTTCAATCCAAAGCTGTAATCTTCACAGAAGCAGACTGCCGCATCTTTCTCCCACAGAGCGACTGGTGGGTTTAAACTGCCAACCTTTTGGTTAGCAGCCGAGCGCTTAACCACTGCACCAGTGGCGTGGGTAGGAGGTTGCAGCAGGTGGACCGAACCAGGTGACGCTGTCAGAGGGGGTGACACCAAAATGATTGTCTGTAACATTTTTGTACACTGTTTCAGCAGAAATTTATTATTTTTTATAAAAATATCCCTGTGTCTAGTTACAACAAAAACATTTTTTGTAAGCTCAACTTTAGCCCACAAGGCTGAAACTCTATGCTGATTTACTTTTCGAACCTTCCAATGTGCTCCGGTCAGAGCTGTCATTATTACCTAATTACAATGACATTTTGAATCCCGTGGTTTTGTCTGTACACGCTACAAGCACTGCTGTTGTTTTCATTGATGCCGGTGTTTTTATAGTCGCTGGTATTGTCAGATTTTCTGGTGCTTTAGCTACGATATTGTTGTAATTAGTATTTGTGAACCTGTATAAATAGCTTTTCAGGAAAAGAAAGAGTGATTATACTGGAATTACGATTTATGAGTAACATTAGTACAAAAAACATGACTAAGGATTCTGTATGGTCTGGTATGGGAGGAGATCCGTTGGGGGAGTGACACCATGAGTCACACTGGGTGACACCAACCCTAGTGACGTCACTGCACTGCACCACCAGGGCTCCTTCAAGCTCTCACACACCCTAGAATCTTCACAGTTGCTTTTTTCCTCAGCCCAACTAACTCCTAGACACCTTTCAACTCTCAGTTCACTTCCTCCAGGAAAGCATCCCTGACCCACCCCTACCCACCCTTGTCTGGGTGTGGTGCCCACCTCTGTGCTCCTGGCGCTGCGCTGCATTTTCTCTCACATGGGACTGCAATTTCCTGTTAGCTTGTGGGTATCCTCCACTAGACCAGGGGCTCCTTAGGGCAGGGATCTCGTCTTGCTCCCTGCTGTTTCCTCAATGCCTAGCACAGTGCCTGACATATTTAAACCAGTAACCGGTTGCCCTTGAGTCGACTTCAATTCCTAGTGACC